TTCCAGCAGCAATCCAGTACTGGGAAACATCCATACACACTTATTCACACTCATACACTACAGTCAATTTAGTTTATTCAATTCCTTTATACCCCATTTCTTTGGACTGTGGGAGAAACAGGAGCACACGGGGAAAACCCACGTGAACATGGGGAGAATATGAAAACTCCACAAAGAAATGTCAACTGACCCAGCCGGGACTCGAACCAACAACCTTCTTGCTGTGAGGTGACAGTCCTAACCACTGAGCCACCATGTCGCCGGCTTTAAAATATGTATAAACAAATTAATAATCGTAGGATTCTTAGTAAAATTAACAATCTCAGCTAGTTGCTGTTTTCTCAGTGAATGTGTTGTTAATCTGCTCTCTTGATTGACTGCCCAAGAAAACAAAGATAAGAAATGAGGTTGATTGACTAATATAATTTGAGAACATGAAGATGCATTCATTTATTCATTACCTGTCTCTTCAGTTCTGCCACTTCCACTGTTGGTTCATCCCACAGTTCATAGGGGACACCCAGTTCCACCTTTACACCTTTTTCCACCAGGTTCTTTAGTGTGTTCATAGTTTGACTTGTGCCCTGAAAAACACAGAGATGTAAAAATAATCCAGCCACAATAGTCTGCAAACACACACATTTTATGTTCTGGCTTACTTTAGTGCAAGGGAGGGATGAGTAAAACGACCTAAGGTCAGCTCAATACCTTGGCATATCGAAGGCTTCCTGGTCTCTCAGCATGCACCTTATACTGTAAAATTCTTTCACAGATGTTGTCCATGGCCTCAGTGAGTCGCATCTCTCTGGAAACAAATAAATCGTTATTATGGCAACATAGGGAGGATACTGATAGAGTTAGACTCCCCCTAACATTATTCTTCTTATGGGGACATTCTAAAACACAAACGTAAAAAAAGGACTTAATGTACCCAAACATCATCAAATTTCTGCCCAACTTTTGTAATTAACCCTAACATCTATAAAAAGAATGAGAGCCAATTCCATAATTAAAGTGAAAAACATCATGTTAAGCATTTTCTTCCCTAATGAAGTCCATTATAAGGAAAAAAGTTAAATGTGGCTTAATTTATCTTTACAACAAGCGGGGAAAATCAATTTTCTATCAAATATTAGTTGTGATTAGCACTTACTACTAGCAAAAGAATGAGCCCCGTTACCACAGTTAATGTGAACAATACTGTGTTAAGCAGTTTATTTTGTTTTGAGTGTCACAGAGGCCAGCTAGTAAGTGCTGTTCAGGTAATCCTCACTTCTCTGACCTCTAAAGGTGCTCTAGTGAGAAACGCTAGAGGCCAAGGTCTTTAGCTCCTTGTTAAAGCAACCGACTCCCATGCGCTTGGTCACCAGTTGGATACCAGCTCGAAGTGGGTTGGGTGGCGTAGGACCAGCAGTGTTACATGGGCATATCAATAAAATCCCCAAGCACATTCTTTTGACAGTAAGGGTTAATCTATTATTAATAAAATTTGATTTTATGAACAGCCTTTTTAACAAATGGTTTCCCTCGGTTGTTGTAAAGTTATGATAAGCCTTTCTTTATTATGGACCTAAATTGGTGAGAAAACGTTAAACATGATATTGTTGACGTCATCTATGAAATTAGGGCCTGTTTCTTTGACAATAGTCAGTGTTAATCACAAGTAAAGTTTGACAGAAATTTGGGTTTCCTTAGAATGGACTTTAATAGAAGGAATGCTTAAAGTGATATTGTTCACTTGATACACTAAAATAAGAGCTTGTTCTTTTAACAGCAGAAAGTGTTTATTGAGTGTATTTTTATAGAAATTGGATCGATTCCAGATGTTGTCAATTAAATCACATTAAGCTCTTATAATGGACTTTAATGGGGATAAAACTATTAATGTGACATTGTTCACTGTAGAATCAGGGCTTGATCTTTTGCTAGGAGTTGATTAAAAGCAAAATTTCATTGATTTTTGGTGTGCTCAATTTTTTTTCAGGTATTTTGTGGTGGACTTAAAACACACAAGGCAAAGTTTCTCACTACAAATTGAATTGAAGCTCATCCTTTTGACATCAGAAAATATTTGTCATGCGAATAAAATTTAATAGAAATTTGGTTTGCTGTTAAGGTACATTAAGCCACGTTAAACTTTTTCCTAATAATGGAAATTAAAAGGCGTGAGAAAACACTTACTGTGATGTTTTTCACATTATCTTTGGAATAGGGACTCGTTTTTTATTAGCATTTTTTTATAGTATTTAGGGTTAATTACAAGAAACGTTTGAAATAAATTTGGGTTTCATTGGTTGATTTTTTGTGCATTAAGGTTTTCTTACACGTTAGGCGTTTTAGAATGTCCCCTCTTATGTTTTTCATCACTACACGTAGTCAGTATGCTGTAATTACTTACGAGGTGTTGTATTTGATTTTGCGCCTGCGCTTGCCAGTGTCCAAAACTTCTCCAAGCTCCACAACTTCCTTCGAGCGGCCAGTTTTATCCAAGGCGTCCTGCAACTCCACCGTCAGTAATTTGCAAACTATTAAAAACACATTTATTAAAACATCAATAATGCTGTAACTTTAATAAAAACCCATTAGTTGTTGTAGACGATTTATGCTGTATTTTAGTTTATTTCCCGTGAGAGTTTCTTTTATTATTTAACATCTGAGGGTTTAAGTTTTTCTTTTTGTTTCTTACCCTCGCATTTATTCGGTAATCGCTCCTCTTGATTGGCCAAGACGAGGCTAAACATATAAAACAAGAAAACAGTAAACATTTCCATACTGACTACAAACTTATGCTAACAGTATGAGTTTGTATTAAAGCCACATCAACATGCTTGTCTATGATAACTTTGAGCTAGTGGAAGTGAGCATGCGCGCTGCCAAGTCGACGCTAAGAAATGTAAACAGAAAACGCGTTATCGATTTAGGCACAACTAATCGAAAGCGCAACGCATTGATCTTGGTTAAAGAAGCCCCGCCGCATGCATATATCAGAAAGAAACTATCTGCTTGTCAAAGTAATGAAAAACACGTGAAAAACACATTTGAGAAATAGAGAAGAAGTCTTGTAGACAAGAAACATTGGCTACAATTCTAATATTATATTATTTTATATTATTTCATGTTCCTTCGGCTTAGTCCCTTTATTCATCAGGGCTCGCCACAGCGGAATGAACTGGCAACTTATCCAGCATATGTTTAAGCAGCAGATGCCATTCCAGCTGCACCCGGTACCCCAGAAGCATCCTTACACAATCATTCACGTACATACATCAGTTTAGTTTATTCAATTCACCTATAGCGCAGCACATGTCTTTGGACTGTGGGAGAAACCAGATCACCCGGAGGAAACCCACGCCAACACGGGGAGAACATCCAAACTCTATACAAAAATGCCAACTGACCCAGCCGAGGCTCGAACCAGCGACCTTCTTGCTGTAAGGCGACAGTGCTAATCACTGAGCCACCGTGTCGCCATGTTATATTATATTATATTATATTATATTATATTATATTATATTATATTATATTATATTATATTATATTATATTATATTATATTATATTATCACGGTGGTGCAGTGGGTAGCACAATCGCCTCACAGCAATAGGGTTGCTTGTTCGAGCCTCGGCTGGGTCTGTTGGCATTTCTGTCTGGGTTTGTATGTTTACCTCGTGTTTGCGTGGGTTGCTCTCGTTTTCCCTTACTGTCCAAAAACATGTGATATAGGTGAATTGGTTTCCCAATACTGGGTTGCAGCTGGAAGGGCATCCGCTGTATAAAACAGATGCTGGATAAGTTGGCAGTTCATTCCGCTGTGGTGACCCCAGATTAATAAAGGGACTAAGCCGAAAAGAAAATGAATGAATGTTCCTAACCGAATTCACTGTATCCCACCCAAATTAAAAGGTTTGCAAAACAGCTTGAATACAGTTTAGCATGTTATTACCTAAAATTGTAAGTACATAGCAATTAAAGTCTTCTAATAATGTGAAGCTTGTTTTTATTTTTTATTATTACTAATAATTGTAATATTATTGCTGTTATTAATATAAAATATACTTTTCAATAGTTATTATATGTTTTATTATTACCCTGTTAAAAAAAAAACTTGTTTGTTAACAGTTTCTCATATTTTATTTCATTGTCCGCCCGCCTCCCCATTTTCACTTTTGAATTGCATTAGGGGAGCTTAATCTCTAAAGCTCTGACACCCTTTAACGTTGAAACGTTTAACAAAGTTAGCTTTATTGACTTTTTTTGTAGTTTGAAGTTATACAGTACATTGTCTGTGTTGATCATACAAATTATAATTTATATGGGACAAAACTGCTAATGAGCTGAAAGTGCCTTTTGTGTTTTTTATTTCTATACATATTAGTTCTTATGTTATAGATTATTTAAATTATCAAATAATTTCAATATGAGTCACTGTTAAACTTACAAATTTTAAGCATATAAAGTTAATGAAGAAAAAAATCAAGTTCAACTAGTGAGTGTAAATAAAAAGAAAGCACCTGTATATGAAAAACATTTTTAAACTGTTTGTGTGTGTATATAATATTACAAAATTATTATTATTGTCATATGATATAACCAGTTTCAAATAAATTAGGTGATTAATCAACAATAAGTGCTTTAAAATTGTCATTTTCCTAAGGTTTACCACTCACCAATCCAAACTTGATGAAACTATTAATAACTGTAGAGCTTTTTAGCTGTCTGAAAGACAAAGTGAAGTCTATGAGAACTATTGTCCCGCCTAAATCTTTGTGTCCTTGAGTGATTTGAACAGGTTTAAAGTTTAAGTGATGTGTATTTATAACAGTGACATGTTGATTGCATTAACTCAGATGGCTGGCACTTGCTTTTCAAGTCTTTCTGTCATCTGTAAAAGCCATTTGGAAAAGATACAAAGTAATGTATTTTGTATCAGTATGTCTCAAGTACTTTGTTTTATTTGGATTAGCTTTTGGTTGAGAGTTAAAGTTTGTGTGTCTTCACAGGGGAGCCTGGTCGCATTACGCAGCCATCAGGATTCAGGTGTCAGAGCCACCCGTTTATTGACAGCCGATATGGTATGATGAACCTTCTGGTGGCTGTGTATGGGAGGGGGTTGAAAAGCAAATCAGAGAGACTGATGTGGGAGATGACAAATCCAGACGGTGGAGAAGTACTACATGAGAAAGTGGAAGTACTCAGAGTGAAGAATAACAGGCCAAACCGTGAGTGAGACTGTAAGTGATTATGCGCATGAATGCACTTGTATGCGGGGGGAGCTGCATGTCTAATTAAGGGTCTTGGAAAAGAGGAAAAGCCCATGTGTTAATGTGAGAGCGAGAGACACAGGAAGACAGCATTGAGGGGGACAGGTGGCCATGAGAGAGGAGCTGTACTCAGCTGATTCCTACCAGCTTTAAGGGTCAAACTGAGGGCATGGCCAATAAAACAGTGGAAAAAAGGTTGAAGAAAAAGACATGTTTCAGAAGAAAGTAGAAAAAGACAACTTCTTCCTTTATTGGTGTCTGTGGTTTAATGAAGAATTGCTAAATTCTTTGGAACTATTTTATTGCACAAAACAATCTTTTTGGTTTAAAAAAAGGCTTCTTAAATGCGCTACAGAAAAAAAGACCAAACTTATTATTAAAATGCTTTATTAAAAACACATTATTTTGACAGCCCCATTAGATATGCGGTTATCTTTGCATCTGCTTAATATCTGCTATGAACTGTTGTTGGTTTGTTTGCAAACAACCTATTTTAAGGAGTAAATTTCATGACACTGTTTTCAACCTGACACTTTTTATGCATGTTTCCATTCATTTACACATTCACAGTTTTTTGGGGATGTTTCAAATTCATGTTTGGTAAACAATGCCATTATAACCTCTCTAAAACAACCCGAGATGTGATTTTGTAAATGCGGGAATGTTTTGTGCATAACATGTTTCTTTTAGTCTTTTTTATGGATCTATGATATTGACAGTTTTGATAGTGTTACCATCTGTCCTAAAAACTTTTTAGTATAGCAAAAGAAATACATTTTTGTATATATTTAGTTTTTAGTATACCATTGTAAATGGCACCTGCACTGTGCACACCTACCATAAGAGGGCGCGAATTAATGCCACTTTTTTAATTTTTTAATTTTTTTTACATAATTCAATTTGACTATCAAACAGTACACAATACTATATATTGATAAAGCAAGACAGAATGAGAATAAGTAAATGTGTGCGTTTATGTGTTTTCAAGTGTGTATGTACTCGCATGGTGGGAGATGGGTAAAGAAATCTATTGGCTTTATTATAGCTGGCAGTTTTTCAGCACACTAAAAATTACAATTCAGATAGCTAATGTTTAAAACAAGGTTTAAAATGAGTAAACCTGCTCTAAAACAGCTATACTTAATTGAGACATTTGCCAAAAGGCCTAAGATTAATGAAACAAATATTGCTCATGAGACCTCTTATCAGCACCTGAGCCAGGGAAACTCAATACCCAGCCCGTGGCTGCACAGCCTCCCTACATGGAACCGCAACCATTCAAAATGTTTTAAACAATTTTATATGACAGACTTCCACAAATAAGCAGACATCTCCATTCTCACAAAGTTCTCTCACCCTTCCAAAAGAGTTTGAGAGGTTTTGAAGCACATATTCTTGTTTATCTAGTAGATAACTGACCCATATATATATATATATATATATATATATATATATATATATATATATATATATATATATATATATATATATATATATATATATATAAAATAAGATACAATAATGTTCTTTTATTTTCTCTATCTCATTTGCTCCAATGCCCTTTGAATAATGTAACTTTTTACTGCAAGCATCAGTCTTATAAGATTTAAATAAAAATAAATAAAAATAAGGGATGATGGGCAGGGTGGTGATGGATATGTGCGTACCTTTGAATAAAATCCTGCAGGAGCCCCTGATTGTTAGAATACCATACAGTTTTAAAAACAAATGATCTGAAAGAAGTTTTTGCAGCAATGTAATAGATGAACCGTTTTTTTGTTTTCTAAGCAATCATTCAGTTACAGTTCATAAAAGAAACATTTATTTCTTGGAATATTGATGGAATCTTTATTTTCAAAAAGTATACTGAAGGTAACTTTGCAACTTTGCAGTCTTCACACAAATTTATTTAGCAGATGTTTTATCCAGTTGCAGCATACAAATTAGTATTACTTACTTACTTGCATCCAGGACCTTTTTATATTGAAGTTTATATTTAGTCACACCATGTTATAGTAAAACATTGTAACATCCAATTTTTGTGAGGTTGGTCATTAGCCCAACGCTCAACCTCCAACCTGGAGGACCAGGACTTTCACCCATACACTTTAGCTTCCCCCATTCACTTTAGCTTCAACTATTCAATATAGTGCATGCCTTTGGACTTTTAGACTTTGGACTTGTGGACTTTGGAATCAGGAGCACCCAGAGGAAACCCACACGGACATAGGGGGAGAACATGCAAACTCTACACAGAAATTCTAACTGACCCAACTGGGGCTTGAACCAGCAACCTTCTTGCTGTGAGGTGACAGCGCTACCCACTGCGGCACCATGCCACCCCCAAATTAGGATTACAATGAATAATTCAGCATAAAGAGGCAATAAACAAACAAAAGATAAAACATGAGAACTAATTGTTTTGTTATTCAACCCTTGTTTAGACAGGACAAATGAAAGCACAGGTTGTTTTTTTAATGTAGTGATGTTGATTTTAGAATATCAGTTATAAACCAAAGAATTATGAATTACATCATTGCTGATTTTTAAAATAAAATACACTGTATTTGTTTGCCTTTAGCTTTGGTAATCAGACTCAGAAAATTAATATTAATATTGGCCGAAATGTTCACATTTGTACATTTCCTTCAGTAAAATGCACATATGCCCTCAAGGAAGAGATGATTTTTCAGCTTGAAATGTTTTGGTAAGATAATCTCAAGGCTCTGCTAACTTAGTTAGAAAGATCTAGTTGAAAGATAGTTACAGGATCAGTAGAATGTTTTAAAGAGACCATCAAACTTTCTTTGTAGCATCACTGAAAAAAACCTTTTCTCAAACCATTAATTTACCTGCAAAATATGATCAATAAACATATTAAAACCTGCTTAACTACAGTATATTACACTGTTTATACTTTTTGTGATAAATATTTTATGCACAGATGTAAGCAAGTGACCCTTGTTGGCTTAATAGGAAAGCTTTAGTTTCATTGTAAGCAAGAAGACTGTGTGTGTATGTGTGCGTGTGTGTGTGTGTATGTGTGTGTGTGTGTGTGTGCACGTCCTCTTGTCTCAGTGTCAGCAATTGTTTTTTTATGTCACCGTGTTTTCATTTAGACTGGCTGGACAGATGGAGTTTCATCCACAAACAGCAGCCCATGTGCAGGTAGGCACACTTGACATACACGACATTACATCTATCAAGGATTAATTGAATATTATATTGTAAATGCAAATGATTGTCAAAGTGTTTACCTGTGTAGAAGACCCAAGGAGACCCACACCTATTCTACCAGACTAAAGCCGGTTGTCACAGCGACGTCAAACAGAAAGAGAACACCTGCTGCGGCGATCATGTTATGTCAGACACATGGACACTACAGCAGAATGACTGAAGACCAGCAGCTTATATATATCATCTCATACAAATAACGCACTTACCTGAAACAGCCATTTAGGATACACATCCACGAGGAGTATATTGCACAAAGGCAAAGACAAAAGCTAAGGTAAGTGTTGTATCATTCATTCATTCATTCATTCATTCATTTGATATTTAGTTGGCAAAATAAATTTTGGTCACACTTAATTTCAATGTACAATTTTCACAATTAACAAACCATTAACTAAGACTTTCAGCTCAATTAATTTGTTATTAATATTTAGTAAGGTAGTAGTTGGAATGGTATGTAAAATAAGATCATACTTTATAAGTGGTAATAAACAGTTAATATCTTAAATCAAATCACTTTTATTGTCTAATCATCAGCAGCATGTGTGCTATGATGAGTGAAAAGCTTAGGTGCTGGCAGGTAACAAGCCAGTAGTAAACAGTGTGAAATTGTTACATAAAGGTGTTGTATGTAAGATTGACATTTAATGGTTGAACTAAGTATTGCAGGCCAAAATCAAAACACTTTTTCACTCTGCCCCTCCTCTAATTACTCCACGCAAATGCTGGTTGCCAGATTGATGAAACTGACAGGAGTGAGCATGCCTGACTAAATGTAAACAAAGACAAAAGAAGACACAAGACATGTCACTCATATAATTTTGAATGGAGAAAAGTGTAACAGTCAATATGGTGAATAAGGCCCGCCTTCTAGTGCAGGAGCCAATCATCGATAGCTGTAGACCAGGGGTCACCAATCCTGGTCCTGGAGGGCCGATGTCCCTGCAGGGTTTAGCTCTAACTTGCCTCAACACACCTGCCTGGATGTTTTAAGTATACCAAGTAAGAGCTTGATTGGCTTGTTCAGGTGTGTTTGATTAGGGTTGGAGGTAAAATCTGCAGGACACCGGCCCTCCAGGAACAAGTTTGGTGACCACTGCTGTAGACTGACGATTCTCCGGGGGAGGGATTTTGAAGAATATTATGTTTTCCCATTCAAGACAGAATGCCCGAGCACACTGCCCGAAAGGTGTTTCAATGATGGCCGCCTAGTGAAATGACTTGCCTTAAAGAGACTTTGACAGAACTACACATGACGGCACGTGATAAAAGGAACTTTTTATGTTAAAAGGAGTTTTTGTAATAACCATCACCTGAAATTTCTACTTTAGAAATGGTTTCTAGGCCTATGTCTCACGGCTGCATGACAGCATAAAACTGCTATGATATGTATTGCTATAATGAAAGCAGCAGCATATAGTTTACCTCAGTTTACCTTTGTTATCTTGAAATCAAAATAAACATTTAACTTGGTTTGAAAATGAATGTTAAAACTGTCTCAGTGCAAATCAACAAATATCAGTCACTTAGCGTGTACTTTTAATGATTTTAAGGAGCTTTAATATGTATTAATTATATGGTTACCATTTCCTTGGTGTGCAGTGCAAAGCACTATTCTTTGTTTCTGAACAGCTCTGCTATTTAAATGTTTCTGCCATGTTGTGTTGCGTGTTGTTTTGACATGGTGTAACAGTGTAACCTGCTCAACTAATATTTACATTTGCAATATTTATACCATTAATAAAAAAACACCTTGGAAGGGTTTTTATAACTCATTTTGGAGGCTGATGCCATCCAATAAATTTCTTTACCATTGTTTCTCAGATAAACAAGTATGTTCACTTAGCATGTTTCTTAAATATCTGCAAATAAACTATGTTTTTTAATGCTTTAGAAGAGTCAGAAACTTACATAGAGGAGCACCTTTAAACTAAAGTGGTGCCAAAAATTTGTAATTGTTCATACAGTGTTGTCTATGAATAGTAAAATAAGTATTGAACACATCATCACTTTTGTCAGAAAACATATTTCTAAAGGTGCAGTTAACTTGGAATTTTCATCAGATGTCATTAACAACCATCTATTATTCTATCCGTACACAGAAAAACACGAATAGGTTTAGAATGTAAGTAGAGAGTAATAAAATAAAAAGACAAAAGAAAAAATATTGAACACATTAAAAAAGATGTAAAATGCCCAGACAGCAGCTAAAATCTTGCTGTGTTTTTCAGCTGTCCACTCTTGTCAGTGTAAATAAATATTAGTTGCTTCAGTCTCAACGCCTACACTACCAGATGAAACCAGGGTGGACATTTTAGCAAGACAATGATCCCAAACACAGCCAATGAAACTCTCAATTGGTTTCAGAAGAAAATAAAGCTGCTAGAATGGCCCTACCAATCCCCTTGAAACCTATAGAAAATCAAAACTAAAGAGCATGGATAGATAAGACCCACAGAGCCGATTCAAGATATCTAGACTGTTAACGTCTGGGTGAAAGTAAAAAAAGTTTATTTTTATGTATGGATTGTTTGGATTTTACCAAAATCTGGGTCATTTTCATGTCAACAGCTTCTTTAAAATACATTTACCAGGAAAAATCATGACACAATATAATGTTGATAGATAGATAGATAGATAGATAGATAGATAGATAGATAGATAGATAGATAGATAGATAGATAGATAGATAGATAGATAGATAGATAGATAGATAGACAGACGGACGGACGGACGGACGGACGGACGGACGGACGGACGGACGGACGGACGGACGGACAGACAGACAGACAGACAGATAGATAGATAGATAGATAGATAGATAGATAGATAGATTGGTAGACAGACAGACAGACAGACAGACAGACAGACTGTGTTGCACCATCCTTTGTTTTTATGTGTCTTTGTTTCAGCTTTACTAAAATAAGATCTTTAAAAAGTTTTGGTCCTGTTGTGAACGTTTTAAAGTTACTCAGTTAAAAACAATTGCCCTAACAAGGACACAATTGCCTTACAATTGGCCTCCATATGTGAATCATTAAAATAACTACCACATTTCCTGACAACCCCACTGTCAAGCATAATTATCCTGCTTGTGAATCTGAGGTGAAAATGTGCCCAAAGAATTTTGGTAAAGTTGTTTTTTAGTCATAATTCAAAAACACATGTGATAGGACTATTAAATCCTTGCCTAAAAAGAAAGACCCCCACCCCAACACACACACACCTTCTTACATACAGTGCTATGTTGCAGAGATTGGGCTTTTGTTTAGCAGAAGCAGGGATGCAGATTTAACAAGAATGATACCAAATGCAGACTCAAATTTACATTGAAATAGCTTGAGAACAAAAAGGGGAATGTTCTGCAAGGGCCAGTCAAAACCCTGATCTCAGTCCAACTGATGATCTGTGACACATTTTGAAAATTGCATCAGTGTTATCTTACTAACCAGAACAATCTGTCTGCCAGCTAGCAAAGACAAAGAGACAAAAATCAACCCTAAACAGTGTGTCCTGAACGCGGCTCCACAAATTATACATTGTGTTATGAATATTGTAGGTTAAAATTGTTTTTCCAATGAACTATATTTTAACAAGATTTTCTAAAGTCATTAACTCATACTTAATGTCATAGAAAATAATGATTTCTCAATTAAATCTGTCTTGATAATTTAATAATTGAAAATACTTTTTTTTTTTTTTAGAATAATAACGTTTTTATTTTGTTTAGCACTGACTCAAAGTCAGTCATGCTGGGCAAGTGTGGGTGTGTCTGGTATGTTCACACAACTTGGATTCACTCTGCACACACAGACACATGCACAACTGCCAGCTCAACATAAGCACTCATAGGTGGCTTAAACAAGCACACTTGGTTGGCCACTGGCCTACCCCTGTGCCCCTTGCCAGACCCCCAATAGCTAAACTGTCCCCTAAATCAAATGCCTTCACACATACACACACTTTCTCTCTGACACAGACATGCACACACACACTTTTTATTCACAGACTTGATTTCAATTTGACATATTCAATCACTCTTAAACCCTGATCCCAAATGTCTCTTTAACTTTCCCTCTCAACATATTTTATTTTGATGTTTTTACACACAGAGAGACTCCTGACACTTTAACCTCTCCAGGGCATGTCTAACCCTTCTCCATTTGCAAGGGAAACTACACCGTCGGCAAATACACCGTTACCCAATCATCCTTGAAACTGAAGCTAAACTCATGGGTTCAGAACAACACTACACATTGTGCTTTACAGACCTTGCTCGATCTGGACAAAGGCATCACATAAATACCAGAAGCTTTTATTTCAATTACTAGGATATATAAATATACTTTTTAATCACTATTTTCTGAACTGGCATGTTTTAGTGTTGTATAATTTTCACTGTTTTATTTTAAACAATCATTAAAAAAATATTATGTGATTTTTTTATTATTCTGTGTTTTATTTCTGAATAATCATCTACATAGGTTGATCTGAAATACAATTTCAAAACTCAGATCACCCATCTCTTCTTTATCCTCCTTTTCTCAGATCTTTGTGCAGTATGCCAGAAAAAGTCTACAGGTTTCAAGGTCAGTGTTATCATAAGCTGAAAAGATCATGTCTGAGGCGAGGGGCTCTGTTCCAAGATCCACTCTTTCCTCCTTCAGCCGAGTCGCTCTTCTACAGAAGGACGCCCCCTCCAGGACTGACATGGAAGAGACCCAGCGTATGAGTATCCTTTTTTGATTGTGCAAGTGCTAAAAGTTAGTTAGTTTAATCAAAATTTGGGAGTATCACTACTCTCCAATATTTAGCTTTTGAATATCAGTAGAGTGGATGTACCTCAGTGACTCTTCTGTTTCTAAATGTGTCTGCACTGTCAGCAGCATAAGAGATATGTTTAATTAAAGGCCTTTCTGCCAGCTGCAAGGCGTCGGGAACCTGACTCCTTGTGGAGTACGTGTGTCACATGTATGGCTCCAAATGAAAAAGATTACCAGCATATTATGCTGCATTTACACATGCTATTCTGATTGAACTAAACAAACAAACCAACCAAAGAACCATTACAGAAGCAATATGTTGATAATTTCAAAGAAGTCTATAAAAGCAGAATTTAGAAATTAGGGAAAAGATTAATGAAACATTAGTGTTTGCCATTGTTATTAATATCTAAAGAGCAAACTATCTATTTATAAATGGCATACAATTGTTCAATCCTATAATGTGAAACAAAATAAAATATTGTTTTTTATCAGAATTTCATATTGTTTCATATTAATTCAAAAGATTGTTCTTTAAATGTCTTGTTTTAATAGACTGATCTAACCATAAACACAAACAATAGAAGCTCTTCTGTCTTCTACCCAGGAACTGTGTAAAGACCCTCGACTCTTTGTGGATGGAATCAGTACAAGGGATCTGCACCAGGGCAGTCTGGGTAACTGCTGGATGGTGGCAGCCACATCGTGTTTGGCTGCAGAATCCTCGCTCTGGAAGAAGGTCCGTATTTTGGAAAATAGGAGATTATGAAACATAAGCATTAAGTAGCTGTTCTGTAGGTGAAAACAAACTAGTGTTAGCAATAAATAAAGTGCACCTCATAAATAGGCCGTTGAATATGCGCATGTATATAGACAATTCTTTTATATACATGCAGCCTTGGTGAGCACAAAACACCTCCTTCAAAAATGATAAGTGAAGTTACAGACCCTAAGCTTTTTGATCATTAGTTTGTTTACTAATTGCGCAAATATCGCTGTTCTTTTCTGTTGTCCCTTATTCAGGTGATCCCAGACCACACTGAACAGGAGTGGCACCCAAAGCGGCCAGATCTATATGCAGGAATATTTCACTTTCGTTTCTGGCGACTGGGCCAGTGGACAGATGTTGTAGTAGATGATCGCTTGCCGGTCAGCGGGGATGGGACGCTGCTCTTCTGTCGGTCTGCAACGCCACGAGAATTCTGGAGCGCTTTGCTAGAGAAAGCCTATGCCAAGTAAAACATTTGGTAAATACACTCTTAAAGTGAATATTATTTCAAATTAATATTCTCTCTCTCTCTGTCTTTCTTAGGCTAAATGGGTGTTATGAGGCTCTCGAGGGAGGTAATACAGCAGAAGCTCTAGTTGATTTTACTGGTGGCGTCTCTGAACCATTGAGTCTGAATCAGGAAGAGCTGATCCAGCACTCTGACCACAGAAAAATACTGTTCCAGACACTAGCCCATGCACACAGCCATAAAGCACTCATCACCTGCTCAATTCGGGTAAGAAAACATAAGGAAAACACTTTTTAAAGTAACACTGCAAATCCTAGATAAATATAAATAAACAATGACATATTCAGTCACACAACTCTTATGTTTAACTCTTTTAACTCTCTTAACACATTTTTGTGTGTTACAGCCTGCAGAAGGGGAGGCTTTAGAATCAGTTTTGGACTGTGGACTAATAAAAGGTCATGCATATGGTGTGACTGCTGTCAAAAAACTCCGTATGTCAGAGACTCTGCATAGCATGTGTAATGCATCTCGTCTGTACATGGTGCGAATAAGGAACCCTTGGGGCACAACAGACTGGACAGGAGCTTGGGGTCTAGGGTGAGTTCATTTATATTTATTTCTCTCAGAATCCCAAAAAAAATTACGATTCTGTTATAAGACAAATATTTTAACAAACATTTATGTTGAGAAGAGAGTTTCAGGGCCTGTGTACTTAATGAACTTGGTCTCTATGCTAGAAATAAAGCATTCCAATAAGAGCAGACTTCATGTGTTAACATAAACATCAGGTCAAAGATTTACTAGCATCTATAAATAGAATCACATTAAATTCGAGAGTTTAGAATAATTAGTTTTAGAAAAGTTGTACTAAAAATAAAATTGTACTATTTCAAACTGTTCTTTAGTTTAATAGTATAAACATAACATGTATTTAACTAGAATAGTATGGCGTTATTTCAATAATAAATGTCATGAATGCGGTATTGACGAGACATGGAAAAATATGAGATTTTGTGGTCCTCCACAAACGTGATATGGAAGCAATGCTTCCATGTTTTCAGTCTTGATTTGAATGTGCGTAATGTAGTACATCTGATCATTTCTGGAAGCTGATTCCAGCCGCGAGGGGCATAGTGGCTGAAAGCTGATTCACCCTGCTTTCACTGAACTCTTGGAACTTCTAGTTTATATGATCCAAAAGATCTGAGTGATCTGTTGGCTTTGTATTCAGTGAGTATATATGTCATGAATTGAGGTCCTAGGCCATTTAGTGACTTATAGACAAGTAATAATACTTTAAAATCTATTCTGAATGTAACTGGGAGCCAGTGTAAAGTCCTGAGGACCGGCATGATGTGCTCTGATTTCCTGGTTCTGGTCAGAATCCTGGTCGCAGCGTTCTGGATGAGCTGTAACTGTCTGACTGTCTTTTTGAGAAGGCCAGTGAGGAGGCTGTTACAGTAATCCACCCTGCTGCTGATAAAAGCATGAACAAGTTTCTCTAAGTCTTCACTGAAAACAAAGCATCTAATTCTTGCAATGTTTTTAAGATGATAGTATGCTGATTTACTGACTGCTTTGACATGACTATTGAAACTCAGATCTGACTCCAAAGTCACACCAAGATTCTTGACCTTATTTGTTGTTGTTTGACCCTTAGAGCTAAGGTTCGCATTCACCCTGAGAACCTCATCTCTGTTCCCAAATGCACTGACTTCAGTTTTCTCTTTATTTAACTGAAGAAAGTTTCGGCACAGCCAACTGTTCATTACATCAATGCATTGGCAGAGGGGCTGTAGTCATTAGGCAGTAAGGCTAAGTAGATCTGAGTGTCATCAGCATATCTGTGGTAGGAGATTTGTTTCTTTCTCATTATTTGGCTCAGAGGGAGCATGAAAAAATTGAACAGGAGAGGTGCCAGAATCTAGCCTTGTGGGACTCCACATCATGGGTGTGCACCTTGACCTATGGTTACCTATACTGTAACCTCTCCCTTCAAGGTAAGATCTAAACCATTTGAGGACCGTCCCAGATAGCCCAACCCAGTTTTTCAGCATATAAGTATTCTGTGATCGACAGTGTCAAATGCAGCACTGAGATCGAGCAGTACCAGCACTGTTAGTTTTCCTGAATCTGTATTTAGGCGGATATCATTGATTATAAGGGCGCTCTCTGTACTGTGATGTGGTCTAAAACCAGATTGAAAATTGTCTAAACATCTCTTGAAGTTTAAGAACTTGTTAACCTGGTTGAAAACAACTTTTTCAATGATTTTGCCAATGAAAAAGAGATTTGAGATTGGCCTGTAATTGCTCAATAGGGTGTTATCCAGGTTGCTCTTCTTCAAGAGGGGTTTAACAACTGCAGTTTTAAGTGAGTTTGGAAAAGTCCCTTAGAGAAGTGAAGCATTTACCACTTTTAGAAGATCCATTTCTAAACAGGTAAACACATTTTTGGAAAATGCTGTGGGCAGCGTGTCAAGACTGCAGGTTGATGTTTTCATAATTTGCACGATCGATTCTAAGATTTTAACATTAATTGCCATGAAATCAGACATAATGAGGAGGGGGGGGGGTGAGTCTCTCTATTGTTGCAAAGAGTGTACGAGCATTACTTAGTGTTTAGTTCTACATTAAAAACAGGAAGACTGTCTTTATAGATATTACAATGGACTACTAGTTTCGTCTTCCTCCACATACGCTCAGTCTTTTTATCATTTGAACTACTGTTGAGTTTCTCTTAGATGCTTTCTCTCTGCCAGTTCTCTTCCTGACTTTAACAGGAGCAATGTCATCTATGACATTCTTAACTTTAGAGTCAAACAAATCAAGGAGAGAATCAACAGAGTCTGCAGATATGCTTGGTGCTAGCGATATGTCCTTCATAAATTGCTCACTAGTGTTCTCATTTATGCATCTCTTTCTGACAAAAACGGCTATTTTTAGTAGCTAGAGTTATCAATATTTTAAAGAAAATCCAGAAATTATCAGATAGTGGAACATGCCTTAACAACAGTCGATGAAATGTGTAAACCCTTAGTTATAAGTAGATCAAGAGTGTTTATCATTGTGTGTGGGTCCTTGAACATGCTGAGTCAGATCAAAAGTGTTAAAAACAGTCATCAGTTCTCTTACAGCATTGATTTCTGGATTATCAATGAGAATGTTAAAATCCCCAGCAAAAGTAAAATAGTCAAATTCAGATGTTACTATTGATAACAGCTCTGTAAAATCATCAATAAAAGTTGGAGAATATTTTGGAGGTCTGTAGATAATGATCAATAAAATGTGTGGAGCACCTTTTAGTGCTAAACTTAAATATTCAAAGGACAAATAGTCACCAAATGATACTTGTTTAAACTCATGGACATCTTTAAATGGGGCAGTGATACCTCCACCTCCTATTGGCTCTGCAAACACTCAAAAAATCTAAGTTTAAAGGAGCTGTTTCATTCAGAATTGCTGCGCTACAACTGTCATCTATAGCCAAGTTTCATTTAAAAGCATAAAATCAAGGCAATTTGTGTTGATAAAATCATTGACTAAAAGGGACTCATTGTAAAGTGATCGGATGTTTAAAAGTGCTAACTTCCCTACAGTAGTCTCAGATTTACATTTAAAAGACACCAAATTTGAATGATTTGCTATATGGCCTGAAGAAGTCTTCGGTTTTCTGTCACATAATACAACACAAATCTGCCTAGAGAAAGCTACAGACACACTGGGTTCCTGCTTGTTCTGTAAACATCTGATAAAGATACTGTTGTCTAAGCAGGCACCCGAGACACATAAATGAGAGCTGTTGTGTTCACCAGCTGAAGATGGGGCGTTGTTTGGGCCCTGGCGATGTGGCAAAAGTCGTAGGGCTTTTCCAGGTGGGCTCAGAGGTGGTTGTGGAGCAGGCCGCTTTTTGGTTGTCAACTAGGGGCTTGCGGCAATGGAGTGTTAAAGTTAAGTTCCAGCAAACACCAGTTCCTCCATCTTTTTGAAAAACCCAAGAGAGGTGAGCAAGGTGACAATGAGAACGTGTCTGGTGACAGAGCTGTGGGTCTGGAGATTCTGGCTGCTAAAATATGTTTTCATGGCTGTTTTCTTGAGGATCATTGTTGAGTGACAAGACTTGATGCTGTTAAGATGCGTCACAGTCTGTCTTTGTTGAGCAGAGGACAAGCGTCAGTGTCTATCAACAGTGGGTGTTTTGGCTGCATGGTTTTACTGTCCTTGTGTGATGCATCAGCCACAAGTCCACTCGGGAGCTGATTTGAAGTCCTGTGATGATTCGGACATTTGCTAGATGTGTGGATGATGACAGCCAATGGATGATGAAGGGAGAAATAGATATTGTCCTTTAACACCTTTGCACCAAGTTTGTTTGGGTGCAGGCCGTCTGATGTAAACAGTTGTCTTTGGTCCCAGAAGAGATTGAAGTTGTCGATTCAGTCCTTTCCTGTTACATGTTTTTTGCAGCCATACATTTAGGCCAAGAAGTTGTAAAAACATATTTGTCCTTCTTGCAGGGAGAGGTCCACTGATGAACGGCTGAATTTTCAATCTTTAAACTGTTTCCAAGAGCTTACAAAAAATCTTTCTTGAGCAGTTTTGACTGTTCCTTCTGAATATCATTCTGCCCCACACGGATGATAATTTGTTTTGCAGTCTTGTGCTTCTTTAGAATTTCCCCAAATTCTTTGTTTACATCAGAAACTGTTGCATGAGAAAAGCAGCATGTCATTGTAGCTTTCCGCCTAAAATTAAAGAGGACGCTAATGCAGCAGCGTATAATCTGACCCCGCGAGTACCCTTTAGCCTTGCACCTTGTTTTTGCCTTAAAGCACTAAGACAGCAGCTCCAGAAGTGCAATCGGTCAGCGCATGATACTTATAAGACAGGACAAAGCTTAGCAATGCCGAGGTTGTGAGTTCAAACCTCACCTGGAGCATGGTCTGTAGATAAAGAAGACAAGTGGGGTGAAAGCTAGTGCTGTTCGGAGTAGATTTTGGAGGGCAACCAACCTGCTGAACCTGCTTTTATGCTAGTCTTTTACACCAGATCTAAAATAACAATGTCTCTGAAAGCTATTAAGTCAGTTGTCGGTACTTATAAGACAGTACAATGCTTAGCAATGCAGAAGTTGTGAGTTTGAGCCTCACCTGGAGCATGGTCTTTAGATAAATAAGACAACCCTGCTGAAAAATCCATCTTAAACCAGCCTAGGCTAGTTGGCTGATTTTAGCTGGTTGACCAGCCTGGTTTTAGAGGGGTTTTGGCCATTTCCAGGCTGGTTTCCAGTGATTTCCAGCCTGGTCTTAGCTGGTCAGGCTGGAAAATGACTAGCCAAATTCAGCTAAAACCAGCTTGACCAGCCTAGTTTAAGCTGGATATAGCTGGTTTTGGATGGACTCCCAGCTTGGCTAGGCTGGTCAAGCTGGTTTTAGCTGGTCATCTCCCAGCCTGACTAGCTAAGACCAAGCTGGAAATGGCTGAAAACCAGCCTGGAAGCGGCCAAAACCCCTCTAAAAACAGCCTGGTCGACCAGCTAAAACCAGCCAACCAGCCTAGGCTGGTTTAAGCTGGATTTTTCAGCAAGGATGTGGGGTG